GTCTTCAACTTCACACTAGGCTCTTCTTGTTCTGGGAACGTAGCATTGCCAAGGGGGAGAAACTCCTTGGCAACCAGGTTCTGCGGGCCTGCCCCATTGGAGTCCCGGTTGCCAAGGAAGAAGATGTGCTTAGCAACAAGGGCCTGAGATCTTGCCCGGCCCAATGACCTAATCGTATTGGACAACCCGTGACAGAGGACCACACCCTGGCAACACAGAAGTCCATAGTCTACCTAAACCTGATGGGAACCCCTTGTCAACAAAAACCTCAGGCCCCATTTGAACCTGGGCCACTAACTGGGAGGAAGTCCCCTAGCCGCAAAGGTCAACCCCGTTTCCTTCGGTATCTGGAAGGTTTGCTTGCCAGCAGCTGAGCAAGATAGCACCAGGGCCTAGGTCAAGCCTTCATGCCCCTGCTTAGTAATAGTCCTTGTTGCCAAGGAAGCAGCTGCTCATGAAATAAGCCGAGGACAGGCTGACCTTCCCCCCCGCCCCCGCCCCCGCCCCTGTCTCCATGCCAGGGCTCCCAGTTTGTGGAATGGGCCTCCGCAGGAAACCTGAAGCCGGTGTGGGTGAGCCGGGGCTGCCCACGGGCCTGGGCCGAGGAAGCCGCAGGGGCAGGCCCCGAGCTAGGACTTCGGGCAGCACGGACCAAGGCCCTGTGGCTGCCCATAGGCGACTGATGCCAGAGTGACACCCACTCCATCTTGGACGGAGGAGAGCTGGACCCCAACAAGACTCCAGATGCCTGGAACTTCCCTCTTATTTTGGTTTCCATGCCCTCAAATAAACTCTGACTAGTGTTGACTGTGCTTCTGAGGGAGGGAGCAGTGACTTTTGGTCTCTTTGAAGCCACTTCATTAGTTCTGTGACTCAGCAGCCTAGTGGGCTGGCTCCAGTACAGCAGAGTGTTTGTGAAACAGATGAAGGGGGCTCTGAGGAGCCCAGGACAGGCCAGCTGGGCTTCGCATTCCCTGTGGCCGCTCTCAGGCCGCCCCCATTCTTTGGCCCTCTCTGCCCGTGCACTGCCTCGGGATCCGTGGCGAGCGCGTGTAAAATAAAGCACAGCAGCTCTCGGGCATGGAAAGCCCCGGTGGGGAACTTGTGCCAATGTCCGTGGTGTAAATGCTCTCACCGCGTTAGCTGTCAAGCTGCGGGTGATTCAGCAATCAATGGGTTGACAGAATTCCTGAACTTTAAAAGCTCCCATGGTCTGCTCCAGCATACCGCTGTTTTCAGAACTTTTTCGTGTTAGATTTATTTATTTATTTTTAGAGAGAGGGGAAGGGAGGGAGAAAGAAGGAGAGAAGCATCAGTGTGTGGTTGCCTCTAGCACGCCCCCTACTGGGGACCTGGCCCATGACCCAGGCCGGTGCCCTGACTGGGAGTCGAACCGGCGACCCTTTGGTTCACAGGCCGGCACTCAATCCACTGAGCCACAGCAGCCAGGGCTAGAATTCTTTTTGATGCAAAGAAACCACTTACAATAGCTTAGGATAAAAGGGAATTTTCTGGAAGGCTACAGAGACACCTTAGAGAAAACAGGACAAGACACACACCTGGAGACCCCAGGTCCCTGAGAGCCTGCATGCAGGCGTGGAGCCAGGGCACAGGCTCTCTTTGGGCCACGCGATCTCTCAGGACGTGTCTCTGCCTATCTGCTTCATTAAATCTTTGTAGCCATATGACTTCAGGAAAGCATCTTGGCCACCCTGAGCTCCCTTTCCTTATCTGTAAAATGGGGCTAATAATTACAACCTGTGGGGCTGACTCAGCGAGGAGCACGCAGGATGTGCTTAATGAGTGACAGCTGTTAGAGGTTGATCTTGGCCTTGGAGCAAATGAGAAAGGGCATCTTCCTGGGCCCAGCAGATTCCTGGTCCCAGGATGTGGATGTTTGGACAGAAGAGACACAGGAATGCGAATGTGGGAGGAAAGTCCCTGGAAGGCTCTCGTTCCCATCTGTAGTTTGACAGCTCCTTCCCAGATTCTACGGGCTGCCTCAGTGTCCTTCCTATTCATTCTGACGCTAACCAGCCCTCTAAGCCAGCTGCAGGAGAGGTCCCGGTACCACCAGCCCAGACTCCCGTGCTTTCCACCGCATCCCCAGGAGAGGGAATATGATTGGCCAGCCTGGGCCAGGTTTCAAACCTGGGCCAATCATGTCAGCCCAGAGGGTGGGCTCTCCTGGTCCCTGCAGCCATCCTGTCAATCAAATATCTATTGAGCTGCCTACTGCGGGTGAGGCTCTAAGTGCTGGGGAGACCGCCAGAAGCAAGACAACCTGGCCCCGTGGGTGAAAAGTGTATTCGTTTCCTGTCGCTGCTGAAACAAATTACCACAAAGTTAGCAGCTTAAGTAACACAAGTGTATTGTCTTTCAGTTTGGGAAGTCAGAAGTCTGAAATGGGTTTCACTGAGCTAAAGTCAGGGTGTCAGCAAGGCACCGGGAATTTGCCCTGAGGACGCTAGGGAGCCGTAGAGGGTCTGTGAGCGGGACCAGTAAGCTCCGCTCTGATTGAAAGACACAGGTAAAAGCTAAGGTGTCATGTACCATAATAATAGAGGACGCTCAGGACAAACTGTGGGAGCCCAGAGGACGCAGCGTGTGTGTGTGAGTGAGAGACAGACCGACACAGAGACAGAGGTGGTGGGAACCTCCTCAAGGAAGGTGCCATCTCCACTGAGGACTTTTCCCAGGACATTTTATTGGGGTATGATTGACAGATGAAACTATGTATTTCAGTTGTTCAGCATTTTTTAAGGTGTTCAAAATGGTTTAACATACATGTGCATTATGAAAGGGTTATTACAATCAAGTTAATTAACACACCCATCAGCTCACATAATTGCCTTTTGGTGCATGTGGTGAGCACTTCTTTTCTCTCAGCAGTTTTCAAGGGTGCAATAGAGAACACGGCATTGTTAACTATCGCTACCACGCTGTGCTGTGCATTCACTGCATCCCCGGAACTTAGTCATCTGCGGCATGGAGTGTGTATTCTTTGACCAACATCTGGCCATTTTCCCCACACACGCAACCCCTGGCCACAAACCTTCTCTTCAGTTTGATTTTTTTTTTTTTTTAAGATTTAATGTATTTATTTTTAGAGAGAGGGGAAAGGAGGGAGAGAGTGAGGGAGAGAAACACCAATGTGTGGTTGCCTCTCGCGCACCCCCTGCTGGGGACCTGGCCTGCAACCCAGGCCTGTGCCCTGACTGGGAATGGAACCGGCGGCCCTTTGGTTCGCAGGCCGGCGCTCAGTCCACTGGGCCACACCAGTGAGCCACACACACTGAGCCAGGGCGAGTCTGACTTCTTTGGATGCCATGAATGAGATCAAACAGTATTTGTTTTTCTCTGGTTCACTCACCTAGCTTAATGTTCTCCAAGTTCTGCATATTGTTGCAAATGGTTCAATAGTTGGCAACATATTACGACTGAATAATATTCCATAATATATATTGTTTCACATGGTTTCATTTTTCAATTAGCAGTAATTGCACCTCAGAGAAATCTCATTGGCTATGACACAGCCACTGCGCAGGGTTTATTTCACATCTTCATCCATTCATTTGCCAGTCGATACGTAGGTTGTCTCCATGTCTTGGCTCTTGTGAGTAATGCTGCCAATGAACTTGGGTGTGCAGGTATGTCTTAAAGACACTGGTGTCATTTTCTCTGGATAGACCGTACTTCGCCGTGTATCATACGCATCCACATTTCTGTACACGGGATTATTGTACCCATGGTATGTAATCATTATACCCATGTATAATGCGCATCCTTTATTTTTCCCTCAAAAATTTGGGCGACAGACCATGCATTATGCGCGGCAAAATACCCAGAAGTGGAATCACTGGTCACAAGGCAGTTCTAGTTTTAATTTTCCGAGAACCCTTCATGCCGTTTCCACAGCGGCTGCTCCAACTTATATTCCCACCAGCGGGGCCTGGGGATCCTTTTCTGCTCGCATCCGCGCCAACATTGATCTGTGGCCTTCTTGCCAGTGGCCTTTCTAGCAGGTGTGAAGTGGCTTCTCACTGTGGTCTTGACTTGCATTTCCCTCATGACCAGTGGTTGCCTTGAGTCTGCAAGCACCACAGGGACCTGGTTAGGCTAGAAAAGTGGCCAACGAGCATTTGGGATCTTACTTCCCAGCAGTTACCAGTTTGGGCTCAAACTCTTATAAAATTTCAAAAAACAACAACAAAAGAAGCGACAGAGATCATCCCAGGCAGAGGGGACAGCATGTGCAAAGGCCCACAGGTGGGCCACAGCTTTGGGGGAACTGTTGGGTTGAAGAGTGATCCCCAAAAGATATGTCCACACCCTCACCCTTGGGACCTATGCATGTGACCTTATCTGGAAAAACAGCCTGGGCAGATAAAATGCAGTTAAGGATGCTGAGATCAGTTCATCCTGGGTCATCCAAATGGGCCCTAAATCTAATGACAAGTGTCCAGACAGGAGAGAGAAGAGGGGGAGACAGAGAAGAGGACAACGCCAGGTGCTTACGGAGGCGGAGGTGGAGCCCAGGGTCCAGCGCCCCTCCCGCCTTCTCCCCGCCCCCCAGGTTGGAGGTGGGAGGTCGGTGGGACAGCCTGTGTCTCAAAGCGCCAACCCTCTAACCGCGGTCGGTCTCCCTGGGCCGGCCAGCCCTCCCCACCTCCAGTCCTCCAGAGCGTCGAGGTCGGTCGGGCCCCTCGTGAATAACAAAGCCATTCTTAGCACTTATGGGGAAGTGCCCAGGGACTTAGAGATTATCTCCCAGGAGACTGAGTCAAAACCAAGGTGCTTTCTCCTCGATACAACAATAATGAAGAAGGAAAGAGGCCAGGATCCATTTCCTTAGTTAACAAATATTGATTGAGCACCTGCTCTGTTTCCAGTCCAAGTGTAGGTGTTGGAGATCCAGCAGGGGAAACAGACGCCGGCCATGGGCCTGGAGCGGACCCCCGGTGGGGGCCGCTGACAAGGAAGATGATGAGTAAAGTGCATGGTGTGCAGAAGGTGATACAGTGACAAGGAGAGAGCAAAGCTGGGGTACAGTTTGGAAAGGGGTAAGGGGGGAAGCATTGCCTGTGTGTTTGAGCAAAGGCCTGAATGAGATGGGGGAGTAGCCACGTGGGTATCTGGGGGGGAGGGCATTCGGGCTGAGGGGCCTGCCGGTGAGTGCAAAGGCCCTGGGGCAGGCGTGCGCGTGCCCCAGGCAGCCAGGCAGAGCGAGAAGGCCAAGGCAGAGGGGGAACCGGGCCAGATCTTGCAGAACCACAGAGAGGACCTGGTCTTTTACTTTGAGCGGCAGGAGGCAGAGGAGAATGCAAGCTGATTCAGGTCTTCCCGGGAACAACCAGGAATGGGGGGGGCGGGGGGGTGAGGGCGGAGGAGAGGAGGCCACAGTGGTGTTCAGGTGGGAGGCGTGTTCAGGTGGGAGGCGGTGGTGGCAGACCCCGGGTGATGGTGGCGGAGGGTGGTGAGAAGCGATTGGGCGGACCCTGGATACGTTTGGATGGTCAGCCAAGAAATTTGCGGACAGGGCGGGCTGCGTGGGCAGAGACACAGAGTCAGGAGCCCAAGCCAAGGCTTGGGGCCTCAGCCTCTCGATACAGAGGACGGGGAGAGGGGAGTTAAGTCTCAAGGTGAAGGTGAAGGCTCAGGGTGATCCCTTCCCTGCCCTGTGTGCTTTGGTTCTGGTTGGAGACAAAGCCAGATTTCAGACCCAGCTCCTCATCCAGTGTGTCCTAGGAGGGAGAACTGACCCACCCTCAGCTCTCAGGTCAGCGCCCTTTGGGGCGTGAGCTGCCGCCACCAGGTGGCGCCACTGGCCTCGGACAGAGCCACCCTAACTATACCCCCCTCCAAAATTTCCTTTCACTTTCGGTCCTGGGTGTCACTCGGCCTGGCCCCTTCCACACCCTGTCTGGGCAAGGCTGGTGCGAGAGGAGAAATGGGCCCTGGGTCCCGAGGGGCGGGGCTGGGGTGCCCTTCCTGGGGCTGAGGGAAGGGGAGCGGGGGTCAGGTCCCTGCGTCCCTGCCTGGGGAGGGTTCCAGGGATCGGACGTCAGGGTTCTTAGAAAGGAGCATGAGTTTTCACCGTAACTGGAGCGTGCGCAGGAAACCCGAGGGAGAAGGAGGCGGAAACTTAGCCACATCAAGGGGCCAAGGGAGGGGCGGGGAGGTGAAGGGGCGGGTGAGGAAAGGGCTGGGGTGTCAGGGACCGAGACCTGCTCTTCTCTCCCTTCCAAGATCTGGCTACAGGCATGAGGGGCCTCTGGCGGAGATGATAGTGTTGGCACCAGCCTGGAACCCAGCTGTGCGTATACCTGAGGGACAAGGTGGGGGAAAGGAGGGCTGTGCCATGATGGGCAGGCAGGTGGGGAGGTGCAGGGGTGGGGGGAGATGGACAGGGGTGGACAGAAGGAGGGCAGGGGTGGAGGGAGATGGGCGGGGTGGACGCAAGGAGGGCAGGGGTGGAGGGAGATGGGCAGGGGTGAGGGGAGATGGGCAGGGCCGGGAGAGGTGGACAGGATGGAAGCGGTAGACAGTGATGGGGGGAAGAAACAGAGGGAGGTGAATACAAATGGGGCGGAGGGGACCCAGCTGGAAGGAGAAATGGGAGGGATGAGCAGGGAAGGGCAGAGTGGTGGACAGAGCAAAGAAGATTTAGGGCAGAGGGAGCAGAGACGGAGATCCATGGGCCAAGTCTGGGGCTGGGGCAAAGCGCACTGAGGACTGGACACGTGGGACAGAAGCGGAGTGACATACAGGGACAGAGATCAGAGGTGGGCAGCTGGGAGCCAGACTGAGGGGGGTTCGGGAACCCAAAGAGATGACCTGAACTCCGGGAAGAGAAAGGAGGAGAGAGGATAGGGGCTGGGGGAGCCTGGGGGAGGGGTGCGGAGCCAACAGAGGCACCGCCTTTCCCCACAGACCTTCCTGCTGCTGCTGCTGATGCTCAGCCCCAGCCTCTGTGGGACCCCAGACTGTTCCTTCCCCCACAGCCCCATCTCCTCCACCTTCGCTGACACCTTCGGCAAGCTGGTGAGCGCCCTGCTGCGCCCCCTCCTGCTGGCCTTGCTGAGCCTCGGGTTCTGTTGCTGAGTCTGAGTGCCCCCTGTTCGGGTCTCTGTGTGGGCAGCTCCCTGTCCCCCTCTTCCTGGGTCTCTCCCCCTGTAGGTCTGTTTCCTCCTGTCTTCAGCCCAACCTGAACCTGTTTTCTCCCACAGTCTGACTACCTGCTTCAGGATTATCCAGTCACAGTGGCCTCCAACCTGCAGGACGTGAGTCACAGATGGGAGGGGCCTGGGATGGATGTGGGGAAGAGACTCTAGATGCACCATCCCTCAGCGGATCCGGCTAGATTGCTGACCTGGTCTCCTCCCTCAGCCCCGGGTGCCCAGGCCCCCCCACCCCTGACCCCTCCTCCCTCAGGCCCAGGAGCCCAGGCTCCCCCACCCCAGCCCCTCCTCCCTCAGGCCCGGGAGCCCTCCCACCCCTCTGCCAGTGGGATGCAGAGCTCCAGCTGTCTCTCCCCAGGACAAGGTCTGCGGGGCCTTCTGGCGCCTAGTCCTGGCCCAGCGCTGCATGGAACGGCTCAAGTCAGTGGCTGGCTCCCAGATGAAACAGCTGCTGGAGGATGTCAACACCGAGATATACTTTGTCACCTTATGTGCCCTCCAGGTCAGCCCTGAACCTGGGGGACAAGTGAGGGGAGTGAGATGCCTTCCTAGGGAGTGGGAAACGAAGCTCAGCTCGGCCTTACTGGTGATTTCTTTGGACCAGAGCAACCCAAGGGAGCCGGAGCTGCAGCCCCAGGCTTGCGGCCGTGGCTGGGGAATGACACCCCTCGCTCTCGCGGCACCAGAGGGTGGTGCGGGGTCTGGGCCCAGCCCACCAATGCTGAGTTTATTTCTCAGGCCCCGGGGCAGGGCGCCACTATGGGGTTCTCTCCCCGAGCAACCAGGAGAAGCAGGGGATCTAAATGCCCTCTGGACCCGGGCCTCCCTGGGCCCTGTTGTGGGTGTTGCTAAGGATACTTACCCTTAGCAACCAGGGGAAGCCTTGGTCCAAACTCTCCCTCTGAGACCCAGGCTTCCCTGGGCCCAGTCGCTGGGCAGGGAAGGCCCTTGGCCTGAGGAGGTGCGCGGGGTGATACGGTGGTGACGTCTCCCTCCCCTGCCCCCAGCCCATCCCCAGCTGTCTTCGCTACGTCCAGACCAACATCTCCCACCTCCTGCAGGACACCTCCAAGCAGCTGGTGGCCTTGAAGCCCTGTATCACCCGCTGGAATTTCTCTGGGTGCCTGCAGCTGCGGTGTCAGCCAGGTAAAGCCCCCAGCCCCACACCCCTCCGCACAGAGCATCTCAGACCCCAACCCCCACTCCTGTGGGCTGCACAACTAGGGGCGTGTTCCCCCAAGTTCATGCCCCTTTCTGGGCCTCAGTTCGCCCATGCCATAGAAACACAGTCTATGAAGAGTGGCTTGTTTTTTTTGTTTTTGTTTTGTTTTTTTCTTTAAAGATTTTTATTTATTTATTTTTAGAGAGAGGGAGAAAGGGAGAGAGAGGGAGAGAAACATCAGTGTGTGGCTGCCTCTCGCGCGCCCCCTACTGGGGACCCGGCCCACAACCCAGGCATGTGCCCTGACTGGGGATCCAACCAACAACCTTTTGGTTCACAGGTTGGCACTCAGTCCACTGAGACACACCACACAGGGCCAGAATGGCTTGTTTAAGTGTCTGCTTTCTAATAGCCATTTTTAAAAAGTTAAAATGGTAAATTCGCTCTTGCTCATGTTTTTTCTGTTCTTTCCACCTCATCATGGTGTTATCTGGAGTCTCCCTGTCTTTGCCAAGGGTGTCTGCTAGATCTGTCAGATTTCAAGAGGTATATTTTAGGAACCTCTCACCCTCAGTAGATTTTTCTCAGTTTCTCCCCACATTTCCAATCTTTCTCACCCACATTTAGCTTTGTCTCTCATTTGTATTTACATTTATGACTATTCGCTACTCAACCAAGTTTTACTGACCATCTCCCTGGTGCCTGGCACTGGAGACACAGCCCAGAACAAGGTCCATGCCGCGTGGGGTCGGCACCCTACGCAGGAGACAGACCGCAAACATGGAAACAGTCAAATAAACAGGAAAATATCTGAATGTCAGGAGCCCCACACAGGCACTTAACCCAGAAATCACAGTCTCCCACGGGGCCGGGGTGGGGGGGTTGGAAAGTCACCGGAAGTTGGGAACAAGGGGCCAGCCAGTGCACGGGTCCCGTGGCTGACACCTGCGTGTGCTGATGAGGCTGGGTGGCGGGAGCCAGTGAGGCGGAGAGAGTGGGAGAGGAGAGGACAGAGGGAACAAAGAGGACCAAGTGGTGTGGGGCCTTGTGAGCCATCAGAACTTTGTACATGGTACATGTTTATTGTTTATTACCTATTCATTCAAATATATAATTTATGTAAACTGATCTCTTATAATATTATTTAGTGAGCAGTAAGTAGTAGGTTCTGGGAATAAATAAGACAGATAAGCCCCGGCTGGGTGGCTCAGCTGGTTAGAGCCGCACCGAGTTTGTGGGTGTCGTCCCCGGTCAGGGCACATAGAAGCACCAACCAATGAACGCATCAGTAAGTGGAACAGCAAATTGATGTTTCTTTCTCCCTTCCCTTCTCTCTCTAAAATCAATAAATTAAAAAAATATTTCTTTAGAGTTTATTTATTTTTCAGAGAGAGGGAAAGGGTGGGAGAAAGAGAGGGAAACAATGATGTGTGGGAGAAACGTCTGTCGGTTGCCTCTCGCGCGCCCCCAGCTGGCCAGGGGGCTCAGTTGGTTAGAGTGTCATCTCCATACATCAGGTCGTGGGTTTGATCCCCAGTCAGGGCACATACAAGAATCAATAAATAAGTGGAACAACAAAATTGATGTCTGTCTGTTGTGCTCTCTCTCTCTAAAAATAAAAAAAAAAATTTCAATGTTGTTTAACTTTAAAAAAAAAAAAAAGACAGATAAGAGCCTGTCACCCACATGCAGCTCACAGACTATTAGGGGAAGAAGAGGAATAAACAAATCAACCCAGAAGCACTATAAACATCTGTTCAGTTATAAAATACACGACCTGCCTATGTGCCAAACACTGTCCCTAGCTCGCTTTTTTTTTAAAAAAGATTTTATTTATTTATAGAGAGAGGGAGAAAAGGAGGGAAACATCAATGTGTGGTTGCCTATCATGCGCCCCCTACTGGGGACCTGGCCCACAACCCAGGCCTGTGCCTGGACTGGGAATGGAACTGGCACCCTTTGCTTCGCAGTCGGGCGCTCAATCCACTGAGCCCCACCAGCCAGGGCGTGCAGCTCTTTTTGTATATGCACTCATTTAATTTCTATGATAACCTTAGGACGCAGGTATAAGGACTGTCCTGCTTTACAGATCAGGAGACAGGCACAGAGGCCAGCATCCCACCCGAGGCCACAACGCCAGCACCAGGAAGGCCTTTCCCTGGCCTGACCCTCCTCCTTGGTCACCCAGGCTCCTCTCCCCCTGCAGACGACTCCACCCTGCTGCCCTCAGGGAACCCCGGGGCCTTGGAGGCCACAGCCCTGCCGGCCACGCAGGCCCCGTGGCTGCTGCTGCTGCTGCTGCTGCCCCTGGCCCTCCTGCTGATGGCCACTGTCTGGTGCCTGGACTGGTGGAGGAGAAGGCGGAGGACGCCCTCCCCTGGGGAGCAGGTGAGATAGCAGGGTGGTCAGCGGGGCTGGGGAGGGCTGAGGGGTGGCTGACCCCTGGGCCCCCGCCTCCAGTTCCCCGAGGCACTGACTCATCTTGCTGAGTCTTTACCGAACTGAGGACCCTGGACTTGTGTGTGTCAGGGGTTGGGAGCAGGGGAAGGGGGGTCAGCTGTGGATGCAGGAAATCCGCTCTAGGGACATGGCGGGGACAGACTGGAAGAGAGAGACTAGAGGCCAAAGAGGAGGTTGGGTGAGGGTCCGGGGAGAGAGGACAAGGGGATGGAGAAGAGGGAGGGGCCGAGTCAGGGATCAGGAGGGACAGGGGTGGAGACTGACAGGCTTGGGGGGTGGCACAGAGGACCCTGAGTCTGGCCCGGTGACCGGGTCCACAGTGGGGAACCTGGGGAAGGAGGGAGATTAGGGAAAGACAATGAACTCAGTGGGGACCTGTGGACCAGGGAGATAGTTGGACGCAGGAATCTGCAAACCAGGGGACAGTGGCTCCCTGGAGCACAGGGAGGGGATCACCTGTGCAAAGTCCTCCAGGAGTGAAAAAAGCTCACGGCGTTCCAGTGGCTCTGGCCAGCCTGGGGCCCGTGTGAGTTGGGGGTTTGAAAACCACCGCAGGAAAACCTAGGCCTCCGCCGGCAGGCACGGGACTGCCTGCCCCAGGCAGCAGCGAGAAATGGGACGTGTGTGACGGAGGAAAGGACCAGGAAGCGGGTGCAGGGGGAGGAGGCAGGGGGCTCGGAAGGGAGGAAGACGGGAGGGTCCAGTGGGTTCTGGATGGGCCCAGAGGGATCCAGCAGAAACGCTCTGCAGTAATCGCTTTCACATCAGTGCCTCAGGGACACAGGCCTCGTGCCCTGGCTGCTCACAAATTCACTCACTCAGTTGAGAGGCAGGCGCTATTGTTATCCCCCGTTTGCAGAGGCTGAAACCAAGGCACAGAGAGGTAAATAATTTGCCAAAATTCACACAGCTCGTGAGTGGCAGAGCCAAGATTTGACTCTAGGCTGTTTGGTCCTGACGCCTGTGCCTGTTACTCTTCTGCCTCAGTTTCCTTATCTGTACGAAAGGCTAATAATAACCCTCTACTGTAGAGCTGTGCAGAGGTAAAGTGACGCGACACAGGTAAAGTCCCTAGAGCTACGCTGTCCAGTGAGAGTAGAACACAAGCCACACACGATTTTAAATTTTCTAATAGCCACTTTTTTAAAAAAGTCAAAAGAAACCAGCTATTATTTTTTTGTTTTTTCAGATTTTATTTACGTACTTTTAGAGAGAGGGTAAGGGAGGGAGAAAGCAAGGGAGAGAAACATCAATGTGTGGCTGCCTCTCGTGCGGCCCGACTAGGGACCTGGCCTGCACCCCAGGCCTGTGCCCTGACTGGGAACTGAACCAATGACCTTTCGGTTTGCAGGCTGGTGCTCAGTCCACTGAGCCATACTAGCTAGGGCAGAAACCGGTTACTTTAAATAATATATTTTATTTCACCCTCTGTATCCAAAATATTGTTATTTCAACATGAAATCAATATACTTTTTTTAATCCTGAAGATGAGGATGTTTATTGGCTTTTTAATAAAGATTTTATTTATTTAGTTTTAGAGAGAGGGGAAAGAAGAAAGAGAGGGAGAGAAACATCAATGTGTGGTTGCCTCTCACGCATCCCCTGCTGGGGACCTGAGTGGGAATCGAACTGGGGACACTGGTTCACAGGCTGGCACTCCATCCACTGAGCCACACCAGCAAGGGCGGATGTTTATTGATTTTAGAGAGAGAAAAAATATATGGATGTGAAAGAGAAACATCTATCGGTTGTTTCCCACATGTGCCCCAGCCAGGGATTGAACCCACAACCTAGGTATGTGCCCTGACTGGAAATCAAACCCGCAACCTTTTGGTGTATGGGACAATGCCCAACTAACTGAGCCACCCAGCCAGGGCATAATCAATATTTTTTAAAACCGTCAATGGTATATTTTACCTCCTTTTTTATTACCAAGTCTTCAGAATCTGATGTATATGCTACTGTCATAGCCCATCTTAATTCAGACACTGTTTTTATCAGAAATGCTTGATCTGTACTTAGATTTCATGAAATGTACAGCAGCAAAGGTAGATTCGCCCGCTGAAGTTGTTTTAAACATATACAGTTTTCCAATAACTGGCTAGAGAATCAGTTTCTAAATTTAATTTTTTTTAATTTCAGCATTTGTTTCAGAACAGTACTTTATTACAGTTTTTCCTTCTTTTTTTAATCCTCACCTGAGAATGTTCATTGATTGAGAGGAAGAGAGAGAGAAACATTGATGCAGGAGGGAAATAGCAGTCGGGGTTGGCCTCCCATACGCACCCCAACCCCTTAATCGGGAACTGAACCCTCAACCTTTCGGTATATGGACCACACTCCAACCAACTGAACCACCCGGCCAGGGCTAGTTTTTCTTGAAAAGTAATACTTTTTCTTTCCAGCTTGTTCCTGTCCACCTGTTTTCCCATTCTCCCAATAACTGTGCCATGAAGTTAAAATTAGATAAAACGTAAAACTCGAGTGCACTGCCCCATCTAGGGGGCTCTCCGAGTGCACCGCTTAGCCTCCAGGGAATTCTCTCGGACAGCGAGGCTGTAACGCGAGCCGTGGCTGGGCTTGCAGTTGTTCTCAGCACCAAGGCCGTGAAGGCCCTGCGCCTGCTGCTTCCGTCTTCCTCTATCCACGGATCCTCACACAGCCCAGTGAGACAGTCACATCTATCACCCCATTTTACAGAGGACACTGAGGCCCAGAGAGAGGAGTCACCTGCCAGAGGACACAGAGCCGGGACTCGGAGCAAGTCAGCTACAGACTGGTCCCTCCCTCGGCAGCCCCGCCCCTGTCACTATCTCCCCAGGATGGAGGCAACACCAGCACCCAGCGCCGGCCCCAGCCCCACCCGATCCCCTCTGTACAGAGCCCTTGTCCCCAGGAAACTGTATATAAATCATCTTTTTCTACCAGCTCTGGTCGGGCCTGTCTGTGGATGGGTTGGAGTCTTGGTTTTTCAGTTAATGCAGTGATACGTTCACCACCTATTTTCCGAGGTCTCCGCGGGCCCAGGGACAGCGCGGGGCGACGCTGGGCCCGAGTCAGAACCAGCCCAGCCCTCAGAACTCCTGCTCACTGGAGGACACATGGGACACGGTCTCAGTACAGGCTGATACGCGCTCTGGCGGGGGTGGCACGGCGGGAACCCGTAGGAGGCACTTGACACAGCCTGCGGGCCACCACGTGCCTGAAAACCTACTGTCGCTAGAGGGGTGTAGGCGCTTCCCCACCGCAACGCTCAGCCTGCACGCGGGAGATTAGCAGTCCCTCAAAAATATGGCGGCCAAGGCTGGACAGCCCCGCCTCAGGAGAGCCCCTCCTACCCCACGTGATCCCTCGCCCCGCACAATCATGGCGGCCGAGGTCCGCGGGGAACGATTCCTGGATTGGACAATCAGAAGACGACCCGCCTTCCAGTGGGACCCCAATACGCACGCGCAAGACACTCCGACCAGTAAAATGACAGAAAGCTGTTCATGTGGTCGTATGACGTCACGCCCTCCGCCCCTGTTACAAGGGATAAGAAACCCTGCGCCAAGGTTTCCTCCTTTCCCAGGCGGCGGCCGAAGATGGCGGAGGGGCAGGTGGGGCTCTGCGCGGACAGGGGTGGCGAGGGACCGGGTGGGATCGAGGCTAGAACGGGGATGGACCCGTTTTTCCCTTCGTACGTGTGTAGTGGAACTTAAGCTCGATAGTTGAGCGAAATTAAGAGCAGAAGGGTTGAAAAGTTTCTATATCGGGGGAATAGACATGACAATGCTGACTTTGTGCCCAAGGCCGGGTAAATGCGGCTTCGTTCTTCCCCGAGAAGCGACGATGGGGACTAAGAACAATTTTAAAAATTAGGCCTCCTTTACTTTGATCTGGGCCGGTCCTTGGCTGAATTGAACCCGTGTATTTCCAGCGACGGGGAAGCACGTGGAAGCCAAGGATTGGCCAAAATGGAGGGTATTTTCGCCCTGCCCAAAGCAGTCTTGTTCTGCTCTGTCGGAGTGATAATCAGGCTTCCCCTGCACTTCTGGGAGTTTGGGCACGAAATATTTCGCAGTGGGTCGAAAGAGCTGTTCACTACGCAGCATTTAGGAATAAATTGTTTTTTTCCTTTGCTTTGGGTTTGATGGATGCTCTGAAGTACTGTCGCTGCTGGAAGCAGAGGACTGACAAAAGGCTCCACAGCCCTGGGACGTCCTTTGTCCTTACACACTTGGCCTTCAATGAAGGCTGCAGCAGTTTACCTGTGAGGGAAGACTCTGGAATGTCTTGGGGAGGGGGGGCAGTCCCCTGTGAACTTAATGTAATGGGTCTGTAGTTCAGGAAGGAAAGCCAAGTTTGGAGGCAAGTTGTAAGAGTTCTCTGAAGGTGTCCCTGCATTTACTGTGTGCCTGGCACAGTTTGCATTGTGTTTCCTGTCATTGAGAAAATGATAACAATGTTTCTGAGGCAGATATTGTTATCCTCATCTTCCAGGTGAGGAAGTTGAAGCATGGAGAACTGCAGATCTTTGCCCAAAGTCACATTGTCAGGAAGTCTGGCTTTAGATTCTGTACCTTTCTGCCTTCCAACAATCACAACGTATATAACCAGCACTCGATAAGAGTGGGGACTTTGACTCTTGATGAAGAAGCTATAATCTGGGTATAAAAATTCCTGCCCTTCAAGCAGCCGAGATGTGAGAGGAGTTCTTACCCGGTTCATTGAAATCAGGAGTCAACCATTTGCTTTTTTGGCCTCGTCTGTAAAGTGAGCCTTGGGTCCTAGTTCTGAGGTTTGGTACCTGGATAGGAGGTACCCTGGGGGATAAGGTGAACAGAAACAATGAGAAAGCCATGGTTGCTTGGGGTGGGAGTCAGGAAGTGCTGGGTGACTCTGAGCCCTCTTGTCTCCAACAGGTCCTGGTGCTCGATGGCCGAGGCCATCTCCTGGGCCGCCTGGCGGCCATCGTGGCCAAGCAGGTGCTGCTGGGTAAGTCTGCCCTCTGCCCACAGCCTCTGAAACGTGGGCTCCAGCCGGAGGTCAGTGATGAGCAACAATCACCATCTTTCGTTTGAGTCTCAAGACCATGAGATCAACCCCATGCACCGCTCTGAGACCTGCCCACCACTCCGCCCCTGGGGTTTGGGTGTCCAGGGTCAACAGGGTCCTTTTCTTTTTTCTCCCCTATTGGACTAGTACTTCTTTAAGCATGAACCCAACATTGCCAATTACCGCTCTGTGGCTTGGGGGAAGAGGCTGCCCTGCCGGACCCTTGGCTTTCTGGGCCTTGTGGTCAGTTCCTCCACAGCAGCTGGGCAGGTGGGCGGCAGGCAGGTGCAGGACGAGCCCTCGGGTGGCTGCTTGCCCGTGCCTCCCAGGCTGCCTCACTCTCCTCTCCCTCTAGGCCGGAAGGTGGTTGTCGTGCGCTGTGAGGGCATCAACATTTCTGGCAATTTTTACAGAAACAAGCGTGAGTTGAAGCATGGGAGGAGGGCCGGGGGGCTGACCTGGGACATGCTGGCCTGAGCCCGGCGCCCGAGAGTGTGGGCATGTGTGGGGAGAGGCTAGCATTTGCCTGGAGATGCCGAAGCCTCACGCACGCACCTCTCCTCAGTGAAGTACCTGGCCTTCCTCCGTAAGCGGATGAACACCAACCCATCGCGCGGCCCTTACCACTTCCGAGCCCCCAGCCGCATCTTCTGGCGGACCGTGCGAGGTGAGCCAGGCCTGGGGGTCGCAGGTGGCGACAGGGTGGGTGGCCAGTGATGAGCTCTTCTCCCACTCAAGTTCGAGTTTCCCGACCGTGAGATGACTCCACATGCACTACCATCTGAGGCCACCCGTCCGCCGGCCTTGGTGGGGCGCTTTCTGGGCCCGACTGACCAGGGTTGCTGCCCCTCTGCCCACAGGCATGCTGCCCCACAAGACCAAGCGGGGCCAGGCCGCCCTGGACCGTCTCAAGGTGTTTGATGGGATCCCGCCGCCCTACGACAAGGTAAGCTGGACCGGGCCCCCTCGCAGCATCCCCGAGTCTGGCGGTGTCCGTGATGATCCACGGTTACCTACATTGTTTGATCCTCGTGAGAACAGCGCTGGCTGAGACGCCCGCCCCAGCCAGCCTTCTTCCCTGTCTGTCCCTCACTCCAGGTCCCTAAGTCCCTCTCCTTCTCTAACAGAAAAAGCGAATGGTGGTTCCCGCGGCCCTCAAGGTGGTGCGCCTGAAGCCCACTCGGAAGGTGAGCTCCGGGTGACGGCGAGTGGGCTAACTTGGGGGTCCCACTGGGGTGTGAACTTGAGGTCCTCGCAACTGGCAGATGATGGCTCTTTCTCACGATGGTCTGCGGATGCCGCTGTGGGCGCTGCCGATAATGCCGATGGCTTGGCTGATGCCAGAAGCACAGAGCCCCTTTTGGGCGGGGGGGGTCGGGGGGGGTCTTTTGATTTGAGCTCGGTCAGAAAAGTTGGATTGTTAGATTCCCAGGATCCTTTGAGAGAAACAGCACCAATCCCTCTCCCCAACCCAGGCTCTCACTTCCTTACAACTTCATTTCTTCCCCCACCCCCAGTTTGCCTACCTGGGGCGCCTGGCCCATGAGGTCGGATGGAAGTACCAGGCTGTCACAGCCACTCTGGAGGAGAAGAGGAAGGAGAAGGCCAAGATCCATTACCGGAAGAAAAAGCAGCTCATGGTGAGGGCAGGGCTGGGGATGCGGGGCTCCGTGCTCTTGGGCAGTGGGATTCTTCTGTCCCTGGGAGGAGGCGGGGTCCCTGGCAGGGACTGACCAGGACCTGTTTGTTCTGACCCCACAGAGGCTACGGAAACAAGCTGAAAAGAACGTGGAGAAGAAAATTGACAGATACACAGAGGTCCTCAAGACTCATGGACTCCTAGTCTGAGCCCAATAAAATTGACTGTTAACTCCTCATGCTTGGCCTGGCCTGCCCTTCCTCCATCGCCGCCCTAGGATGTGGGGGACCCCAGGGGCTGTTGTTCCGGGGCCGCAGGCGCCCTGGGCCTTAGAAGGCTGGGAACACCGAAGGGGTCTTAGTCACTACTGTTTAAGAAACGCCTTTTACAAAGCACGTTTGGCTCTAAGAGCTCTACAGCGCAGTTTGCCTGTGACCTGCTCATTTACGGGAGTTTGGGGAAATCAACACTTGGAGCAGGTAGTTCCCTTTCAGTAGTTATCAGTAAGCTGGAAATTCAAGTTTAAACTTCCCACGTGGTCCGATAACTAACTATATTCTGTAGCCATTAGGACTGGAGCGAACATGGGGGCAGGAGGAAGCCGGTGCTGTTCAAGGGCACTTACAGATGCGTAGCCCGGGGCTGCAGCCTCCGCACCCCAGGCAGTGTCCTTGCACGTTACTGTACCTTGTGATTGGAAGCAAATAAATTATTTTTAAAGAAGTTTGGCGTCTTTGCAGTGTGTGTCTGCAGCAGAGGCAGGCCTTTGGCGAGAAAGGGGCTCCTGCTGTTCATGGGAGACTACCTTTACAGAGGTTTACCTGCCCACAGTTCCCTTGAGAAGGCTTTGTGATTTCTCAAAAACCACTGTGGCCTGTGGTGGCTGGTGTCGCCCAGTTGACATGAAGTGATCTATCTAGTCAGCAGCTGCAGAGGATGGAATTCCAGTGCTCTAAAGCCGTTCTCCGTTCCCGAGACACGCTTTGTTGCAGCCTGCTGCCACAGCAAGGAGGCTGTTCCGTGTAAAGAAATGCCGTCCTAGCCCTGTGGCTGGATTGGAATGTCCCCCAGGACACCAAGAGGTTGCGGGTTCAATCCCTGGAGCAAGTGCAGGAGGCAACTGATCAGTGTTTCTCATCTCGTTTCCCCCACCCCGCACCCGCGCCCCCGGTCTAAAATCAATGAACATGTCCTCCGGTGAGGATTTAAAAAATGGACAAGCAGTATTTCACAAGTGGCCATTAGGCACTAGAAGAGGCATGTTAAACATGACATAGTTGGCCTAAGACAAAACTTGACACGATGGGGCAGCCTGGGTCAATCCCAGAGGGTGAATGCCGCACAGTGCCAGCCCTTCAGGTGCCCTCGAACACCCCCATCAGAGCCTCCATTTCACTGGTGAGGTTTAGGTGGAGTCACCTAATAGGTGCCACACCCAGAAGCCCACACACAGCCCTCTGCTTGGACAAAGGCAATCAGTCCCGGGAACGAAGCTGGACTCAAGCCGCCCCTAGGATTGGTGTGCCATGTTTAGAAATAATTTTCCAACTCAGTTCAATATTTAAATGCCTGACCTTCACACATGGGAACCAAATTGAGGATAGTTCACAGGCAAATTATAACTGCCACACCAGGCCATTCTATCTACCACTCTTAATCTTTCCAAAATGTCCAAGATATTGCTGGCTTAGGTTTTCTCAAGCTACCATTAGGTTCATACCCTTCTTGGGGTTCCTGAGACTGAAGACACATAGAGCTTAATTCTAAAGTTTGGCAAAACTGTGTGTTAAAGCAGCACACACAATAATCGCACCAAAAGCATGATCCATTAAAAAGATAAATCTGGCCTTATAGAAGCAAAACCTTCCAAGACACCATCGAGAAGGTGATGACAAGCCACAGGCTGAGAGAAAATATTTGCAAATCATTTCTCTTTTGAAGGAGTTGTATCTTAAAATTCAGTAGTAAGGAGACAAAGCAAGTAAAAATTAGGCAAAGTTTGAATACACATTTCACCAAAGAAGATATACAAATGATCAAGAGGCACATAAGAGAGACTCTCGACATTATTCAACATTAGAAAATGCCAGTGAAATCTCTGGGTGGACTTCATCCTTTATGTAGGACAAATACAGGGAATTGGAGCCTCTGCCAGGAACAGGGGGAAAAAATTTAAGATTTTATTTATTTTTAGAGAGAGAAGAAGGGAGGGAGAAAAAGAGGGAGAGAAACATCGATGTGTGAGAGATATATCAATCAGTTGCCTCTCACACACCCCCAACTGGGGACCTGGCCCACAACCCAGGCACGTGCCCTGACTGGGAATTGAACTGAGACCTCTGGGTTCACAGGCCAGCACTCGGTCCACTGAGCCACACCAGCCAGAGGAGCAGGAACATTTTCAAAGCTCCCATTCCATCCTCCCCAAGTCCCACCACCAAAGCACCTGGCATACCTGCCCAGTCCATGGGAGTGCCATTAGAGAGGGTCTTGTTTTGACAGGCATTTCTGTGCTCACTGGGGACGTCTCCTGGTCTACTAGCATTTGCACTTCTATTATGAAATGCTTGGAAATAATGTCTGTGAAATCTGGCAGAGACTGGGAACTATTTCTTTAAGACATAATAACCAGCCCCCGGCTGGTGTGGCTCAGTGGATCGAGTGCTGGTCTGCAAACCAAAAGGTCACAGGTTTGAATCCTAGTCAGGGCACAAACCTGGGTTGCAGGCCAGGTCCCTGGTTGAGGGTGTGCAAGAAGCAACTGATTGTTGTATCTCTCACATGTTGCTGTTTCTCTCCCTCTCTTTCTCCCTCCCTTCCTCTCTCTGAAAGTAAATAAATAAAATAAAATAGGTAATAAATAGAGTTGGCTGAAGTTTATAATTGGACACCAAAGCTGTTCACAATGCAGGTCAAAAAAAAAAAAAAAATCCAGCCATGAAATAAGTAAAATGGAATATACATGAGAAGGAAAAAAATTTTTTCAGTGTATAGCAGGAAGGAAAGGAAAGAGTTAAAAATTAGAAAGGGAAAGGAAGTCAGGGAGGGTTCAGAAAGACAAAGCAACCTCGGAGAGAGAAAGGTGTTTGATAAAAACGTAGAATGTTATTTACTATTGTGGGTTGTGATTAAAAAGCTAAGGACCTGAACATCTCTAAATTGCCTCAGTCTTTCAAAGTGAGGCAGTGTTTCTTTCCCCTTATCATCATAATCTCACCAGCTAGCTGCTCTGAACAATTTGCAAACTAGTGAGCATTTTAAAACCCAAAGAGGAAATCACACCTAATCCCCACTACCTGGAGATGTTAAACCCCTGGGGCACGTGTTTTCTTCCAGGCTTTTTTTTTTGTCTAAGTAACCTTTATACACAGTTTAGCACACGTTGTAGATAACAACTGCGGTCCCGCCTTTTTTAAAAACTAGTATCATCATTTCCAAGTCGTTCAAAAATTCCGGAAATTACATTTTTCTTAAAAAAAATACGTTACAAAGCTAGTACAGAAGATTCTAAAAAACGAGGTGAAAAATCCCCGTTACTGCTATCTCCAGAGGGACTGAAACAACCTCAATTAAAAATGTATCGTTCGAAATTCACAAAGCTATTAAGTGTAAGGGGAACTTAAATCAACTTTCAAATAATTTATTGTAAGTTTGTAGCATTTATAGTTCACATATTCTGCACTGCCTGACGCGATAGACTTTAGTCCCATGTGGCTACGAAATTTTAAATCTAATAAAATTAAAGGTAAAAATGCAGGTCCTCAGTGGCAACGGTGTTGCACAGAATAGGAACAGCCATTTACACTATAGCTGAAGTTCTACTGCACCAGGCCGTTAAAGACAGAAAACCATAAGAAGGGCTTTTTTCTCCTTCACTACTCCATTGTCTGGGACAGAAGAAAACTTTCACTGAACTTCAAAAAGCTCAGGGGCAGTCCCCGCCCCTCACAAAGATGGTGGCGAGGCCGCGAGCAGTCCTAACATTTCACATCTCCCCACCCCGCAGAAAGATGGCAGCTACCGAACACCGTTTGAAATCTGTACGGACACAGCCACGCGGTCCCCAGTGACCACGTGATGTTACGGCCCGCAGAAACATGCCGCCCATAACTCTCGCGATACTGTGGGAGGGCTGAAGGCTGGCCAAGCCTCCCTAACGTGAGCTCGCGAGCCCAGCGCCTGAATGTCTGGACTATCGTGAGACAGTGCGCACCACCCCCTCGACCCTCTGCCCTCTTCCATCATGGCGGCGCCGGTGACATCTCCCAATCGCCTGCTTGGTTAAAGCCGTCCGTCAATCAGAGTTGTGCCCAAGGCACCGCCCCAAATTGTGCTGTCCCACCTATCCCCTATCGTCATTTCCTCTCTAGCCCCTGCGCAGTCGATAAGGAAACCCGGACGCCACAGGGGCTTTCTTTTTTTCAGGCGGCCGCGAAGATGGCGGATATTCAGGTACGAGCACGGGGCCGACACCGGGGTGGCAAGGCGCTTTCCGGGCCTCAGGGGCGTGTCCTGGAGACCAGGATCCCGCGCCCCAGTTTGGGGGTTAATTGCGGGAGCCCTCGATTCCCCGGGGGTCAATTCAGGCAGAGAGCGAGTGTTTTTACATTATCTAGATTAGCGCCTCTTAAATCCTGGAGGCTTCGCATTAGGAAGTCGTATAATTATGTAAGAAGTGGATCTTGGGTGGATGGCTTTGTGCTTTGGGAAACAATCCTTGCCGAAAGGTGTCCGGGGTGTTTGAGGGGTGACTCTGTTTCCGGACTTTAAGGAGTGAACTCTGCGGGCGATGGGAAGTGTTTTAGAGCCTAAGTAGTGAAGTAACCTGGGATTTAGCGTTGAATCTGAATTAGAGGTAAACTTGGGGTAAGAGCGTTTTCGGAGGTAATTCTGGAGCAGTGGGCCTTGGAGGCCAGCGTTGCAGAGGATGGGATCTGGGGGTTTCTGGGAAGCGTTCCGAGCCCGGCTGCGGCCTACTCCGGACTCACCGGCTTCCTCGTCCCTGCAGACGGAGCGTGCCTACCAAAAGCAGCCCACCATCTTTCAAAACAAGAAGAGGGTCCTGCTTGGAGAAACTGGCAAAGAGAAGCTACCGCGATACTACAAGAATATCGGTCTGGGTTTCAAGACGCCCAAGGAGGTACAGGCACCTTCAGAAGAAAGAATGACTGTAGTCTCCGTGCATGTGTCTAAGCGCAGTTGCCCAGCCCACATCTGAGTGCCTGCTCCGAGGGCTGCTGGGAATTGTAGTTTCTTACTGTCTGGGGCCACACCCCCTGTTCTTTCAGGAACTACCTGTTAAAGCCTCACTTTTCTTCCTTATACCTTCAGGCCATTGAGGGCACCTACATTGACAAGAAATGTCCCTTTACTGGTAATGTCTCCATCCGAGGGCGCATCTTGTCTGGTAAGTGGGGCTGTCTGTTCCGCGGTTCAGATTGCTGGGTCCGGGGGAGAAGGGGGAGCGGGGACCCTCAGACTCCAGGTTTTTGGGGCCCTGGCAGGTGATGTCTGTTTTCACGATGGTCTTCAGATGCCTGCACAGGCACTGCTGAGAAAGCCACTTGGCAGAACTGATGCCAGAAGCACCGTCTCTTGTGAACCCTGCTCAGCAGCTCCCAGCATGCCTTGGGCTGCCGGTAGAGCCCTTTCCCAGGGAGCCTGACCTAAGATCTGTCCCCTCCCCCAAGGCGTGGTGACCAAGATGAAGATGCAGAGGACCATAGTCATCCGCCGAGACTACCTCCACTACATCAGAAAGTACAACCGTTTCGAGAAGCGCCACAAGAACATGTCAGTGCACCTGTCCCCCTGCTTCAGGTGAGCACAGTGGGTCCCAGGCAACCCAGGGCAGCCACCCTTTTGGTCACAGGGGAGGGGGTGGGCTACACTCAAGTCTGAGTGACTTGGGACCTGACATGAGTATTAACGGGGACACCCCGGACGCCTGTGGGGGTGGTAAGCTCCGGGGCGAGGGGGAGCGAGCCGCCATCCTTTGGGGCCTCCAGTTCTCTGTAAAATGGAGATGGCTGTTGGAGCTCTTCTGCCCCGAGAGGTCCCTGCGAGGGTCAGAGCGTCCCCTGTGCTGTGCTGGGCCCGGTGCCTTGCACATAGCTCTGGTCAATGACAAGGGGGCCTCTGGGGCTTGGTTGGGGCCTCAGCCTGGAGCCCACGAAGGAGGTTCCCCTCCAGAGGCTGCTTGGGGCAGCCTCAGGTGCCCCCGGCCCCCAAACATAACATAGACACTGTCCCTGTCCACAGAGATGTCCAGATCGGCGACATCGTCACAGTGGGCGAGTGTCGGCCCCTGAGCAAGACCGTGCGCTTCAACGTGCTCAAGGTCACCAAGGCTGCCGGCACCAAGAAGCAATTCCAGAAATTCTGAGACTCGATGCCTGCCCATGCCCCCAAAGGAAATAAAGCTATTTTCTCAGTCATGGGCCAGGCTTCTTGTGTCTGTGGCCTTATCAGAGGGAGGTACCGTCTCTGGGAGTTGAGCAGCGTTGACAAGAAAGATGGGGTTTTTTTATTCTCTGGGTTGTAAGGATGGGAATGGGGACCAAATCCTGCCTTTTGCACTCTCGAGTCTGGGTGAAGACAACCTGTATTAAAGACGCTGCACTCTGTCTCCTGTTGATCCTCGTCACCTACCTGGCATTGAGCTACTGTCTCGTCTCCCGCAACCCAACCTCCCCCATTTTCTGGGGAGGAAGTAAGTGAGGGCGGAGGCTCCTGGGTTCTCAGGCCCTTTCTGGCCTCCTTGGAGGGTAGAAAGGAAGAAGCAGCCATACTCTTGGGGGTGGGGGGCGGGGGGCGGGAGGGCCTCAGGTCACAGCTACCTGGCTCTGAGCTGTGAGGGCCACGACCGTGCCTGCCCTTCTCCCCTGGCAGCCGGATGGGGTGGTGGGGCAGGGAAGTGAGGCAGGGGCTCCCCCTGCCCCCCATTTGGGTCCCCGTCCCCAACTGACCACCATGCCCATTTGCAGATGAGCAACCTCATCTGAGGGGCCAAGCTCTCTGCTTGGAGTCTCAGTGAGTACCTGAGCTCCAGGTCTCAGGTTCTGGAAATTTCCTTTGCCCAGAAGTCCAAGCAAGGAAATTGGCCTTGGGGGAAGTTGCAGGGGGAGCCCCGGGTGGAGTACAGCTGAGCAGCAGTGAGTGGCGGCTGCTCAGGAGTGGGGAGGAAGTCCTCGGAGATGGCACTGATGGGGACAGACGGGGCGGGGGTCCTGTGGAGGAAACAGGAGATGTGGGGAACGGGGCAGGCAAGTTGAGGGGAAGGTTGCGGGTAGGGCCAGACGGTGAAAACCGGAGAGGGAGGTGGGGCGGGCCGACAGCCGCTAACAGCAGAAGGCTCGGTCAGACGCACAAAATAAACGGGAACAGGGAGAGGGACCTTGAGTGTCGTGCCCAGATAAGGCTCAGCTGGATGTGGAACAGAGATGGAGACCACAGATGGGGGACAGACTCAGGTTTCAGAAACGGGGGACAACGGCTGACAGGAGAAAGTCAAGAAAGGACAGGCAGAGGGAGGCAGGGACTTTGGGACGCGAAGGGGAGACCCTCACCCACGCGGAGGTGGAGGCTTGGAGGCAGGAGGGATGTGCCTGAGGCTCCCCGCGGGCTTCGCCCCTCGGGGCCGGGCGCTGCTGGGGTCCCCAGGTCCCTGCCCCCCATGCCTGTACCAGCGGCTGCGGCACACCACTAGTACAAGGGTTGGGAGACAGGGCCTTGAGGAGAGGGGAGCCGCCGCTCCTCCAGGGAAGCCACCTCGGGATCAGCCCGGCAGCTCCTTTTTACCCGGCGAGGGCGGGGGTTCCTGCCAGAGGAAGTGGGGCCACATCAAAGAGGGCAGGAAGGGGCAGGGACAGGTCAGAGGGGGGCACCACCCGGATTTCAGCCTGCAAAGCCCGCCCCGCCCGGGCTAGAGGGCTAGAGACCGTGAGGCAGGGGCGGCGGCCCCAGGGAGCTGAGGCCGCCCCAGAGCCCCCCACCGCCGCAGGTGCTTCCGTTCAGGGTGGGGCGCCCTGTTTACAACAACAACAGCCCAGCTCCCCTGTTTCCTTCCAGCAGTCGTTGGGGCGTCTCCGTGGCACCCCATCGTGTCAGGCTACCTGGGCACGGGCGGGGCGGGCGCCTCCTGTGCATTGGGGGGCACCTCCGGTGGGTCACAAAAGGATCTCCAGGCCCCAACAGTTCTCTCACGCGAAGAGTGTGGCTGTACCTGCTCAGCCCTGTGACAGCGAAAAGAGACACGACCTACGTTGGGATCACGACCTGGGTGCTTCTCCCGTCTGCCCTCTGCCCAGCGGCTCTCCCCCTCCCTCCCTCCCTCCCTCCCTCCACCCGCCAGACCTGCACCCTCCGAGCCTTTGCGATGGCCGTGCCCTGTGCTGGGGACACTTTACCCAGGCTCCACCTGGCTCCCTCCCTCCCTCCCTCCTTAGTCTCTAACACTCCCTAACCTTTCCGTGTGGCAGCACCTCCGACCCTCCCAATCACCCTTCCCTGCTTTGTCTACATGGACAGGTAAGACCTGTGTATGATGTGTCTGTGGATGTATTGTACGGCTTCTGTACAATGTTGCCTTTTTATTTGTTCACCTGCTGAGCCCTGGATCCAAGTGCCCGGAGGGCAAGGCTCCGCATCCCTGGCACGGGTTGTAAGGGCTCCATACACGTTTAGTTGAGTGAATGAATGAATTTTGAAGTTAAATCCCCACGTTCTCATAGGGTGAGCTTCACACAATAACCGGAAGCAGTGACCAGGGGCAGAAACCTCTGAACACAAACAATAAATCTGTTCTGAATCCGAGCCGAGCCCCTTTTTAGCTGCGTGACCTTAGGCAGGTGACCTGCCCCCCAACCACCGATCCTCAGTCGCCTACTCTGTAAAATGGGTTCCCGCCACCCTGCCCCGCTTCGGGAGGGGGAAATACGCTCACGTGTGTTAATGAGGTCGAAATGGTTCTGCTCAGCGACAGCAGGGAAGTACTCACGCCCAAGCCCTGAGCCCTGTTAGAGAAGCCTCCTGTTAGAGAAGCCTCCGTACAGCAGGCCCCTCTGTTCCTTTGGGCGGGTGCCAGAGCAACAAGAGCCTGGGGCCCCAGAGGTATGGACTGTGGAATCCTGGGTGTATTAGAGGAAGCCCTGGTGGTTCATCACGGGACCTTGAGTTTATTTTATCATGCTTCTGGAATGTTCTATTGCATGCCTCTTTCAGGAGGCCCCAGAAATGGGGAAAGCAGCTCCAGGCACAGTTTCCTAGCAGGACCCTGGGTCTGCGAGGACAGCGGGCCTGTGGTGTGAAAACAGGGCCTGTCGGGTGTATCATCGCATCGCGGCCCGCACCTGTCCGCGCAGACCGCAGGAGAATTCTGCCTCAGCCATGCTGGCCGGCACTGTTGCAGTCCCTTGCTGTCCTAGGAGAGCAGGACCCAGCCGTGCGGACTGAAGTGGGAGCAGGCCCAAGGGCAGTACCTGTGCAGCAGGCCCCCGACTGCATTTAACTGGCTGCGAGGGGCGCCGCGCGCTGACTGAGCTGCGTCCGTGCGTGCGTTTTAGCGCTGCCCGAGCCCGTCGCGGGAGCCTCTGGGGTCTAACGTTACGGCAGGTCCCAGCTCTATCGCTTGTAACAAGAGATCTACAAATCGTCTCGGGGCGGGTATAGAGTCTGCTGGAACATTCCAACAGGACGCTGATGCCATTCTAGAGGAATGTTAGGGCCACATGAACCCAGCCAGCGTCATTCATTATTGCTTTCATTCGTTCTACAACTTATTCACTGTGCTGGCCGCTGGGATGCAAGAGTGAGCTGGGCAGATACAGGGCTTGGTGTCTGAGCTCAATCTAGTGCGACCCTGGGGATCTTAACAGAAACCTGGGATGGGGGCGGGGAGTTTAGGGGAACGGGTGTTACTGCTGTGCCCTGTGCCAAACCTTTGACGGGCTGAAGCCTCCCTTCGCAGGTGGGCACAGTTACGCCCCTTTTACAGATAAAGAAATCAAGGTTCAGAGAACCACCTGGAAGAGGCAGGCTTTGATGTTGAATTCAGATGCTATTGCCTCTTGGGGTCAGTAGGGGGCACTATAGTGGAGGTGCGGAGCGGAGGGGCAGGTGTGGAGGTGGCGAATCCGGGCGCAGGGCTCAGGCCTGCCTCCGTCCCTCCACGGTCCCCCCGCCGCCTGGGGCCCGGGCGGCCCAGCAGCCCTGCGGTTCGGTTTAATGCTCCGCTTGCGTTGTCTTGAAACTGGAACGAGCGGCCCCATGTTTTCGTTTCACCTTGGGCCCAGCAGATTAGTAACGGTTCTGCCATGGGCTTTCTATTGCTTTCTATCGGCCCATTGGGACGTGATAACAGGACCCCAGGGCATTGGTGGGAGTAGACCGAGGTCATTAAAGCAGGACCCTGGGGACACCATGGGAAACAGCCAGCAGATGCTGTAAATGGCCCCTGAAGACATAGCTGGACACCAGGGCACCTAGAAGGGACTCCCAGGGGGCACTGAGGGACTGTGAAAGCTGCCTTTTTTTTTTTTTTTTTTTTTTTTAATAGCAGGAAGGAGGAAGATTATGGGGACTATTTC